CGAACATTTGTTGATTATTTTGAGGACACGTGGATTGGAAGACCAACACGTGGTGGTAGGCGAAGGGCGCATACTTTTCCAATTAAAATATGGAATATGTTTGATGCTGTAACGGAAGGCTCTCCCAGGACAAATAATGCAGTAGAAGGATGGCACAGAGCGTTTAATTCTGCATTGGCAGCTAATCATGTAACAGTGTGGAAGTTCATAAATATGTTAAAGCGAGAACAAAGTCTGCAGGAGACCAAAATGGAGCAGCAAACAGCTGGTGCACCTAAAAAAAAAGGCAAAAGTATAAAAATTTGGACGAGCGGTTAATTGCTGTTGTAAAAGGATATGACGAAACTAATAACAATAAATATTTAAAATCAATAGCACATAACTTAGTATTATAATAAGTAATAAGTATAATCATTTTTGACGGAAAACATACCATTTTAGTTTATTTTAAAAAATGTCTTAATTCGTTTTTTGTCTTCAGTAAATGTTAATTTAAATAAATAATTAATAATGACGCGGGATATTTTGTCGGGGATATTTTGACCGGGATATTTTGACGTGTCACCAATGAAAATAGAACCAAAAAAACAAACAAAAATTATCAAAGTAACCACATTTTACGGTATCTAAATATTAGTTTTCTTGTAGGTAAATGTGTTGAGTATATTTTACGTATAATGTTATATAATATGCGTATACCACGTATAATTTGTAAAGGACAGTTTTTATTATAACTAATCATACATTACTTTACATTTTAAATAAATATTAAAACCAAACTGCTTTCATAATAATATTAAGATTTTTTAATTTTTATCAAGAATACTATTTTAAATCTTTCTTGTTTTTTTTCTAACATGTCATCCGGGTCCCTGATATCACTTATTAACAATCTTTTGCCATATAAGGGATCGACGAGTTCAGGGAAAAGACAATTTAAATAAAACCTAAAATACAAATTCATGTCATAATCAATTAAATTAGTAGGACTGATATTGGTACTTTAAACTTCTTACGATATTAATTTTTCAGACATTTTATATCCAAAATGTATGATCATAATACATTTTTTCTACCGAGGTCCACTTTTCGGTGTATACTACCAAATAACATAGTTCACGTTTAGTTACATGCAGTTGTCCAATAACTTGAAAATAATAATTACTATTTCGTTTTACTATGATCAAAGAATCTTTCGTTATCCAATTTGGTAGCCGTAACATGTGTTATAAACATAATTTTCTTAATTTTTACGCAAACCCAATTTTGGACCTAACCGATATTTTAAATATATAGTTTTGAATAAGATAAACATTATTGTAAATAAAATTATTCATATTATCCATCACTTACAAATTTTTATAATTAGATTACTTATTAGTTTTATTATCATTGTTAAACTGGTTTTTGAATAAATCTAACACCATTTCTATTATGAAATTAAGAAAGCGCATAATAAAGCAGAATTTATAATAATTACTATAAGGCAGTACAAGCAATAAGTTCCAAGTCCCAACTCTTACCTTTAAAATTAGAAGCAATAATAGTCTGTGGTTCATCTTCAAGAAGTCCTCTGTTTTTTAAATTACTTAATAAGTCTTCTAAATTTTCAATTTTTTTATTTTTCCTTCTTAGTTTTTGCTGTAGTATTTTTATTTTATTTTTAAGAATTTCTTCATTTGGATAAAAGGTGTCAGTTTGTACTTCCACACTCTTAAAATTACTAGCTGGATACATGTTGTCGTATTCATTATTATTGTCTTGTAATTGATCTACATTTGTATCTGTATCATACAAATTAAACAAATTGTTAACAAATTAATTTTACATGATTTATGACAATATACCGTTACTACAAAAGTTCCTTAATAGTAGGTGGTTTCCTAGGAATTTTAATTGGTGTTTGAAGGTAGGACGGAAACGATGGGAATACTGATGGCGGTGAACCACGATTGCGCCCAGCTTACCTTTTTCCATTCAAAAAACGCAATACGATTGCGCTCGACCAATTAGCACTATCGCGCCAGTCTATAACCTTTTTTACCTGCATAAAACGCAACACGATTGCGCTTTAATGTATATATATGTGTTTGTCCCGTATATGGTATATGTATATGTTATATAACAATTTTCTAGTACACTATTTAAAAATACAGTCGGACTTGGTTTTCCTTGGACTTGATTACCCCATATGTACAACCGATAAAAAAATATTTAATTAGACATTTTTAATTAAAAAGAAATATCTATGATAGAGCTACTATTAGAGTATTATTATTAAAAAAAAAAAAAAAAAATTGTAACTCAAAATTTTTAACCAAGCGAACAATTTAATTTTGTTGTCAGTCCTAAGCCTGTAAAATTGGGAAGGAAAATTATTAAGAGCGCAATCGTATTGCGTTTTTTGAATGGAAATAGGTAAGCCAGGCGCAATCGTGTTACACCCACTGATGGAACTGCATTGTCCCTTAACAATAATCTATGTACACCAGGTCTAACTTGATAGTCTTGTTCTGTAAAATGAACACTACATATCCGACTCCATTGACTTGCTTCAATTTTTTTCTTTTTATTGCACTTATCCATTTTTCCATCAACTCGCTGTTAGAAGTGGGAAATCTATGATCATGCAATTATAAAATTAAAATAGATATAGAATACATTTTCATTGCCAAAAACCATTTACTTGTTACTTAAAAGATCAATATCTTTACTAATTGGTTATTATTATAACTTAACTCACCGAAAGAAATGTATATTTTGTCAAGCTTGATATCTGTTTGAGCATCCATAAGCAGCACGTGAAACAGGCATTATAATTAATTATCAAGCAATTGTACACTTCACTGACTATACTTGTAGAGTTGTAAGTTGCATCTTAATACAATGACGTGAAATTGTATTAAGTAATTAAATAATAAATAATAAATTGTTATAGAATATACTAAAGTCTATAATAATATGTAGAATAATCTTAAAAATGCTTTGCCAACCGACAAAATGGCGGCAACTGATAAGCCGAGCTTCAATAAATCTCGAGAGTTACTTATCTAGTGTATTATAGAAGTCTGTGTCATGAGGTAATATACTTATACTTATACTTTATATCTTAAATTATGTGTCCAATCTAATATATTATTCTTATCTATGGAGATATCATAACTAACACTAAAAATAGAATTTGTAACTCCGGCGTTTTCGTGCAATCGTATGGTGGTTACAGACTAAGTTTGTATAACTTATTAGTTATTGGACATTAGTTAATATTCAATTACTTACCTAATAAACAATTATAAAAATGAGTAGTACCAAAAAATATCTAAGTGGCTCGGAAAAAAGAAAAAAAAAAGAACAGGAGAGATAATTTACCTCAAAACTAACTAAAATTAAAGGTTTCTTCACAGTCAAATTCCGGTAAGTATGACTTATCAAGATATTAAAATTCTCATACAAAGTATTAGGCAGTAAACTATTTTGGCTTTTTACAAACATTATATAATTTTTCAGCAGTTCTACGTATAGATGGAAAATACTTACAGATAGGTTGGATACAAATGATAAACACCGGTTAATTACACTTAAATCGTTGAGTGATACTAGGTGGTCGTGTCATTCTGAAGCTTGTAAAGCATTAATTGGTAATTATGAAAAAATCCTTGAAGCTCTAATAAAACTGTGTGAAAATGTTAATGAAAATTGTGAAACAAAAAGAGAAGCTACAATATTATAGAAAAAAAATGTTAAAAAGAGAGATTGCTTATCTTACATTATTATGGAGTGATATATTGGACAGAAGCAATAAAACTTCAATTGAATTGAAAAACAAACACGGTGATGCATTAAAAGCCGTCAACTTGCTAAAATCATTAAGGCATTATGTGTCAAGTTTAAGAGACTCTATGAGATTTATGAAAATAAAATCATACACCTAAGTCAATATGTTGACTGAATGAAACTGAAAGGATAAGAAAAAAAAAGTATCCTGATGATAATAGTGGTATTATAGTGGAATTTAAACTCATTATGTTATTATAGACAAGGCTGGGCAAGTTAATGTTTTTTTTAATTCGTTAAGTTAAGTTATTTTAAAATAATTAAGTTAAGTTAAAAGTTACTCGTATTTTTTATCGTTAACTCGTTAAGTTAAAAGTTAACTTTAAAAAAAAGTAACTTAACTTAGTGTAAAGTTAAAATTTGCTAATTTGCAAAAATAGAAAATTCCAGACACATAATGTGGTTTATTAGATAGTTTTTCTTTACGTCTAAGAAAATTACTGGGGAAATTTAAAATGATACATCAAAGTAAAAACACATTAAAAAATTTACATTATTCTTCGGAAGAAAATTAACTTAATTTAGATATTTTTGAAATAAAATTAACTTGAAGTTAACACGTTAATCTTGAAAAAAAGCAACTTATTAAGTTAAAAGTTAATTTGAAAAAAAAAGTAACGAGTTAATTAACTTAATTAAAATTAACTTAACATTTTAACTTAATTTTAATTTTTAACTCGTTAATGCCCAGCCTTGATTATAGATACATTTGTTTTAGAACTTGAAAATATAATTGCTGCATATAATTATATTTCTACCCGTTTTTTATCTATTACTAAATTAAGTTGTCCACCAGATTCAGATAGTGCAGTCCAAGAGAGCATAAAGAATTGTATTTTCACATATAAAAATGATGTTGATACTTCACTTGAAAATGAAATTATTCAATTTCAAAATTTTTTAAGTTTAAGTAATGTATCATTTAATGAAAGTGATACTTTTAAGTTATTAAAATGGTTTCATGATTTTATGCCCAAACATTTTAATTGCTCTTAGATTATATTTAACTATCCCAGTGGCCAATTGTTCGGCCGAAAGAGCTTTTTCCAAACTAATAAGAGTGAGGTCACACGAGCGTTAATTAACGGACGTTACGACGGACGTTATTTTAACGGTCGTTACTTTTCTGGTCACACTAGCTAGGATCAACGTCAGTTATCATCAAAATGGATGACGAAGAGGTTGCGATTTTTGCGTATACTGCTTTGAAAATTATTCGCGAAAAAAAACGAGTGCAAAGAAAATGGTGGGTGCACCCAATTAATAGTGAAAGATTATTGCATGGTGATTTTTACACTCTTTATAGTAGATTACGAGCTGATGATGTAAGTTTTTTTAATTATTTTCGTATGTCTTTAACGTCATTTGATGAACTTTTTGCCAAAATTAAACATAAAATCATACGTCAAGATACGAATATGAGATCTGCGATACCACCCGAAGAAATGCTAGCTATTACTCTGAGGTAAGTAAAAATTAAAAAATAATATATTTATTATTGATAGTTATTTATATGTATTATAATATTTGAATTATTATATGAAAAAATTATTACAAATAAATTATTAAAATAAATATAGGTACCATCTTGTATATGATCATTATTGAAAATATTTTAATTTATTAAAAGAAAAAAACTAATTAACTTGAAATAATTGATATTATAAAAGTTTATACAAATCACGTATTTTTGACAATTTCTGAATTAAAAAAAAAAATATTAAAAATAATTTTACTGCAAATCATAAAAATCCATCACTTAAGTTAACTTATTGTTGACTAGTTTGATGGTGGATTTTGGTCTTCTGGAGAAAACTGTGTATAAGCCTGTATAGAATTAGAAGATGATGCTGAGTTTGGACGTAATATATTTGATTGAAAATATTGATCGTTATATGTATGAGGTGATACTGGCATATTATTGTGATGACGATATGGTTCAACATAAGAAGTTTGAGCAATTGAAGATTCCATTGATGAACCAGTATGTTTTATATTTTGTAGCAGTTGCATAACTTCAATTCGAAAACGCATTTTTTGATTTAAGGTTAAAGTTTTCACTATGGGCAATGTTGATGTATAAAATGCCATATCTTCATCAGTCATGTCCACAGATGAATTATTCGTGTTAATTGTTCGTGAATCCAAAAAAGCACCTAATTTATCCTCAAGTGAATGCGTTGTTTTTCTTTTTTTTTGCTGGCGTGGACTTATGGCATGGACTAATAGATGTATCATTTTGGTTTCCTTCGTTTTCAGAGCATTGAGTATTATTATTAATATTTGATTCAATATCATCGAAATCAGATCTAGATGTATCTTCGTTAGTTTGCTCGTGTAATTGTAAGCTACTACAAGTCGGACGCTGTTCTCTGCATTTTTTCAGAAATGAAAGTTGTTGTTCGAAAATGTATCGCTGAATTTTTTTCGCACCACTTCCAGATTTGTTACATTCTGCTTGTTTTTTAAGACTGCGTGTATAATTGTCACGAACACTTCTCCATTTTGAAATAACTTCTTGTACTAAAAAATGTATGCATTTTTTAATTACTACCTACTTTTTAACAATTAAATATATTTTACCGTTTAAAAATAAAATAACAAATAAGATAAATAAAATAAATATGTAATACTGCATGTGTCATAATATAATGCATACAATGCATAACATTAAGATTATACTTAGTATCCTATTTAATCCTATATTAATGATTAGACATTTTAAATTTAAATTTAAAATTTTTAGATATTTGGGAAGTTCAAACAACCTTCATGATTTACATTATGCGTATAGAATTGGACGATCTACTTTAAGTAACATAATACGAACAGTTTGTCAACAAATTTGGGATGTTATGTCAAACGAATGTATGCCTACACCGAATGAAGAAGATTGGAGAAAAATAGCCGAAGGTTTTCAACATCGAGCAAATTTTCCGCACTGCCTGGGAGCAGTTGATGGAAAGCACATTCGGATAACCAAGCCTCCAGGAAGTGCTTCGTTGTACTTCAATTATAAACATTTTTATTCCATTGTTTTACTCGCAGTAGTCGATTCAAATTACCGTTTTACTTATATTCATGTTGGTTCATTTGGAAAAGACTCGGATTCTAGTATTTTTAAGAATTCTAGTCTATGGAATAAATTACAAAATAATTCATTAAATATTCCAAGCCCAAACTTCATACCCGGTATTAATATTCCTATTCCTTACGCATTTGTAGGTGACGAGGCATTTGGTTTATCAACAAACGTGCTTAGGCCTTATGCGGGAAAATATTTACAAGATATTAAAAGAACTTTTAACTATAGATTGTCTCGGGCAAGGCGTTACGTAGAATGTTCATTCGGAATATTATCAAATAAGTGGAGAATATTCCATCGACCAATTGATGTTAATGTGGAGTTTGCTATTGATATTGTAAAATGTTGTTGTGTGTTACATAATTTTGTACGTGATCGTGATGGTTTTAAATTTGACGATACTTTGACAATTACAGGGATGGAAGACCTTGATTATGATAATAATTTATACGTAAATAGATCAGTAAATAGATATCGGGACGCTTTAGCTAATTATTTTGTGTCTGAAGACGGACAAATACCTTGGCAAAATGAAAAAATTTAAATAAATCTTTTCATTAATTATAAAATAATAATTTATAATATTATAAATTAAGTACTTATTTGTTATAATTTTAGAATTACCGATATCGTGTCTTGATTTATTATTTTCAATAAAAATATTTATTATAAAATAAATTGTTTTTATATTATTTGTATCTACTTACTAATAACTTTTTTTTCAGTTTCGGTATTGTTTGAAAAATTGTCATATAAAGCAGACGTAACGTTCAACCAAGCTTCATTTTTTTTATTTCTGTCTTTATAATCATCATCAGACGTGTCCCACAATACTGGTCGTTTTTCAACTTCGGATATTAACTGCTCAGTCTCCATATTAACTTCAATTTTATTAATTAATTTACACTTAATTAATTTAAGTTAATTTAATTTATTAAAATGAATTAAAATGAAATCACTTTCTACCTACAAGTGAAAAACATGAACTGAAATAACAAAAACGGACGTCAAAACAACGTTCGTCTGTCTTTGTCAATTGAATCTAATAATAATCTACAACGCTGATAAGCTAATCGTAACGGACGTTATAGCATATCTTGCGTATCGCCAACGTCGAACGGACGGTAAATCCAACGGACGTCGTATGTGTGGCTGCTAGGTATGATTGTAATGAATTTCAACAACGGACTTCATGACGTCCGTCGTAACGTCCGTTAATAAAACGCTCGTGTGACCTCACTCTAAGAATAAAAAATAAATAAATAACAAGACTCAAGACAATTTATCATGATTAATGATATTACATTCAGAAAATGATATTTTGCAATTAATGGATTTTAATGAAATATTGCAACAATTTGCAAAAGAGAAAGCAAGAAAAAAATTAAAGTTATAAATCTCTAGTAACCTATACAAATATATTTTAAATATATATATATATGTAATAATGTAATATATTATGTATAATAATAAAATATAATATATTTATCAGTCTTATATTTTTATATATATATATTTTGTATAGTCATTAATATGTACCTAGTGATAAAATTATTTTGAAGTTAAACTTGAAAGGGGGCCCACTAAGTGTATGGAGTCCCGGGGCCTAATTGATCCTTAATCCGGGCTTGGTAAGTAGTTCCTATTTTCATATTTCAACTTAGTGCAATATGTGTGTCAGAAGTGTCACAAAAGCTTGACAAACAAAAGCTCAAATGAAGTTGTTGGTCGAGTTACTAGCTCTCGACCCACAGCTAAATGCTGCGAAATTTAGAGCAAACTTCACACATAATATAGTAAAAAAAAGGTGGGAAAATATAGCTTCACAACTGAATACAATGCCCGATGCTGAAAAAAATTGAGCAAAATGGAAAAAGGTAAGTGAAATGTTCTTATTAAATAGTGTAAATTAGTATTAGTATATATTTTAGTAAAATTTAAATACATTTTGTTCACCCGTTTATGGTTTAGGTACTAATACAATTCAAAAATGTAGTATAAGTTGAATTTACTGTAACATTGGGGTCAACTATTTTTGTTAAGGTTGAATTTGAGATTTTATAGTTTGTTTTTGAACAAATTGGCTGTGGTAAAATTTTAAAACTGTGTGTTATTACTGTTTGATGGCTCTCCAGCCGCTTGTTCGTTATTTTTTGAAATAATGAATGTTCATATATTATATAAATACATAATAGTAAAAACACAGAAGTCATACTGCTGTTCAGTAGGCATAAAGTGTGTCTTGCATTACATTTTAAAATTTTAGAATTAAAAAAAAAACTAAACTGTGAGAAAGGATTTTTAATATTTTTTATCTGCCTTTGAAACCATATAGTAGGAGCCTTGTATTAAATTTTCTAGTATTTTTACTCAACAAATACATTTTTATTGATATTCATAAAAAAAAAACTAATAAAATTGGAAACTGAAAATGTCCCTAAACAGTTCAAAAGAAATCAAAATATTTTGAAAATGTTATCTTGTATAGAAAATGCAAATATAAACAACCAAAGAAAATTTCATCAATCTACGGTCATTTGTTTTAAAGTTACACCAAAAACCAAAGTCGATTTTGTGAAAAATCAATTTTGTTTAAAAATTCCCGTTTTTCCTTAATTTTTCTTTTGTTTTTCTTGGCGCTTTTCAAAATTACTGGGAATTTAAATTGTTACCTCCCGAAGGATACCAACGATATTCACTTTCCAAACGAACAAGGTACTGATATTGAAAATCGAAGCATTATTTCGACTATTTATCGTGTATACAGACAAAAAAAAAAAAAAACACACATCTTTGTTAAATCAATACATTCATTGGTTCCACTCAGAACCTAAAATAATACATTTATCCATTTATTCTAAACGGTTTTGAAACAGGGCAATCCTATAAAAATTGTAAAAAAGTAAAAAATTAGTAGTTGTAAAAAATGACATAATAATAATAAGTTTTTAAAAGCAAATGTCATGACATAAAACTATTGATGAATATTTTCAATAAAAGAGCTATGGAGAGCATATACTTTTAAAGATACATCCAGTGTCGGCCTGGCACACCAAAGGCCCATGGATCAGTTTTATTAAGAGGCCCCATAATAAAAATAATACAATTTACTTGACATTATGGTGAAAAATGCTCACCACCTTTTAAAATATCGGCTGAATAATTAAAAGTAAAAAAAAAGTATTCCTATTTGAAAAACAGTAGTTTGTATTGTAACAACATTGTTCTTAAATGTTATAAAAATCTCATTTCAAAAATCCTCAAGCGTTTTTAAAATTCCAAAAATTTGATTATAATATGTACAATTTAAGAAAAAAAAAATAAGGGGAGTATGCATAAAAAATCACTTTGTATAATATTAACGCGAAACCTGACGTGAGGAATCATTCGTTTAATAATAAACTATGAAATGATTGAAATATTTGAAACTGCAAAATAATAAATAATAATTATTAATTACACGTGGTGTAATGGTAGATCGCTTCCTTGGAGGGCACCCTGGGCAACGCTAAAGATCTACCACCACGCAAGCAGAGAACCATATTGGTGCGCAACCTAATCTCTGCACATCCAGACAACCACAATGTCAAAAAGGCCCTTTTCAGGGCCACCTCCCAAAGCCTTCAAGACGATCTCAATCAATATTGAGGGAATATCAGACAGCAAAGAAGAACTCCTAGCAGAGTTGTGTAAGTCTACAGCATGCGACGTACTATGTATTCAGGAGACGCACCGGGCTACTCAAGACAAAAGACCAACAATTTCCGTTATAAAAAAAAAAACTCCGTAATCGAAAAACCTCATGGCAAATATGGCAGCGCTATTTTCGAGATCCTTACTATTGAAATACAGAACTGCACCATTACCTCGATATATAAACCCCCTACAACACCTTTTGCCTTCAAAGATCCTGGAAACTTCAATAACCAAAGAATGCAAATAGTAGTTGGTGATTTCAATAGTCATAGTACCACATGGGGATACAAAGAAAATTATTAAAACGGGGACATCGTCGAATCATGGGCAGAAGCATGGCCTACTTACACTGCTCCGTGACCCAAAACTCCCATCCTCGTTTAATAGCGAACGATGAAAGAGAGGATACAACCAGGACCTAATATTTGTCAGTAACTCTCTAAAACAACAGGCAATCAAACGAGTTGAAAGACACATACCACGGTCACAACATAGACCTATATCATGTGAAATAACCCATAAAATCAGAGCTAACACAACACTATTCCGAAGAAGATTTAAATTCCAAAATGCTAACTGGCTGGATTACTCGATTAGTCTAGACACTGAAATTTCACACTACCAGTGACCAGTATGATACATTCGTGGATACCGTAAAACGTATTTCGAGGAAATTTATTCCCAGGGGATGTAGAACAAGATACATACTAGGCTTAACCTCTGAACTATCAGAACAGTTCCAATCGTACTCAGATCAATACGAAAACGACCCTTTCAATTTAGATACAATCAAGGAAGGTGAACGCTTATTAGAAAATATTACAGAGGTAAGAAGGACAAACTGGCACACACTTCTCAATAATATGGATATGAAATACAGCAGCAGTAAAGCTTGGGGGCTTATCAAGAAACTCGACTGTGATCCGTCGAAACTTAAAACACGCATATCAGCAGTAACAGCAAATCAAGTGGCACATCAGCTACTCATAAATGGAAGGACAAATATGAAAAAAAGAAAAAAAGCATAGATACATATCAGATGGAAAACAATTTGAGGAGGAATCAATACTGAGAGACTATTTCTCACCACTAGAGCTCCAAACCTAATTGAGCTGAAAAATAAGAAAGCAGTGGGTGTAGACGATATTTGCACAGAACAAAGAAAGAACTTGGGGCCGATTGCCAAAAAGTGGCTTCTAGACCTCTTCAACAATATCACAAACACAGAACAAATCCCCCAAATCTGGAAAAAATCATAGCACTTCTAAAACCAGGGAAAACCACAGACGACCCAAAAAACTTCCGACCCATCTCCCTCCTCTGCTTACCTACAAATGATATGAGAAATGAATCCTAAACAGGCTAAAAATATTCATAGATGATAAACTCATCAAAGAGCAAGGCGGTTTCAGACCAGGGAGGTCCTGTACTGGACAAATATTGGGACTCACCCAACATATAGAGAATGGCTATGAGGAAAAAAAAATAACTAGAATAGTATTTATAGAACTAACGGCCGCATATGATACAGTGAACCACAACCTTCTGATCTCTAAGATCAAGGATTTAACTAAAGATAATACACTTGCCAGGACAATAAACACCCTTCTCCGCAACAGAAAATACTGTGTTTTACTTGAAGGAAAGGTTAGTAGATGGAGTATTCAGAAAAATGGCGTCCCACAAGGTAGTGTACTAGCACCCACACTTTTTAACATATACACTAATGACCCAGGCCGGTATCAAACATTTTATACAGGGTGATTTTTTTATCATCGAACACTCATTATTTCAAAGAGTATTAATGTTTAAGAAAATATTTTTTTACATAGTTTCAAGTTGTTAAAA